CCATCTCCCTCCATAGGCGAACTCTAAGATGTCCCGCATCGAAGCCCTGAAGGCACGCGGCTTCCTCTTCCAACCGCATCGAGAGCGAGGCGGCGCAAGATCGCTGGGGAGGGGTCCAACTACGGTACTGTTCTTTTTATTACTGCACATATTTGATTCCATTCTATTTCTTTTTTGAAAAACTTTTTTTTAATTGTTTTTTCGTTTTGTTACAAGACACGGGTAAAAAGCATTGTGGTAAAAGTATGTTGTAGAAAATATTACACATACAATACGTACATCTATACAATTGTATACACATGTATCTCCTTAGATGCTCCAACAGTATGTGTATCAGAGTCCTGCCGCGGGTACCCGACCCGATGCAGGACGGGTGACCCGCAAAAAAAGTGATTCGCGGGTGGTATTTTTTCAAACGCTGTTTTCCGGGTTCGGTTCTGGGTAAACCAAAGATGATGTCGGCTCGCGGGTGTTGCATAATAAATATATTAAAATAATAATAATTTAGTTTAATGTTTAAATCCTCAGACCTCTCCTCCGCGGGACCGCACATGATCATAACCTCTGCAGCGCATCAATCTGCTGCTGAGCGCGCCACATTCAAAATGGCTGAGGTGAAGGCGGAGCTCGGAGAATACAGCATTTTCAATAACACTTCCTCAAGAGCGAAATCCAACGTCTGGGAGGCTTTTGGTGTCCTCCTAGATGAGAGAATAACCAACATCCCACGCTTTTTGAGACAAATATGCAACTGCGTGTTAATAATTGCACGTTTTCACTGCTTATAGGATGTTCGGGGCGGTTTGCGGATCTAATTGGCAATATGTGCGGGGCGGGTTCTGTATTGCACGTCGCGGGGCGGGAGCGGGTCTTGAAAATCAGACCCGTGCAGGACTCTGATGTGCATACGTGTATACATATTCAGGCGTGTAGGGCTAACAGAGGCAGGGTTACATCACACTCTCAGGGTCTTTGGGCCACTTTGTCCATGATTGACCTTTTTTAATTCTCTATCCTGGCTCTATGACTCTGCAGTGAGTGTTAGGGGGGGCAGGGTTAAGTAAAGCACATTTTCAAAACACAGCAAGTAGGTGATAGGACATCAGTTTGGTTTCACTTAACATTTCCAGTTCCTCCAGTACTTTTCAAATGTTCTCTTTGCATGTCTCAGAGAGAAGGTCAGTTGGTCTGTAATATCGATGTTCCGTAATATTTCAATGTAAATGCTGATATATTTGATTATATTTGTTATTATTTTTTTATGTTATTATAGTTTTCTTAAAATAGTTCTTACATTTTTGTTTTACTTTTTTGTTTTACTTGTATGTATGCACCACGACACCAAGTCAGATTCCTCGTACGTGTCAACCCACCTGTTACTAACCCTCTTTCTGATTCTGATTCAGATTTAGAAACCTCCATGGATGTAATAAGACCCTCTCAGGGGGATCCTGACGCTGGAAGCTGGGCCGAAAACGATGACGTGGCGTCGAGGATCCAGAGGATTCTGACCAGCACAGGTCATACAAGTTCATACAATGGCACGGCTCTACCAGGAGCAGGACATCTACATGCACTCAGGGGACAGAAAGACAACAAGGGTACACACACCTTTACAAACAATCCACACACACCTGCCGACGAGACAGGGCTCAACACACATGAGAGGGAGAGGCTGGTCAACGGCTTGGACAGAGTGGAGAGAGTGGATAACGGAGAATCAAGAAGAGAGGATAAGAATGGGGCTCTTGACTCCAGTGCCGGGTCCATCAGCGAGGGTCCTCTGCTGAGTGAGGGGAGTTTCTCTGAGGATGATGTCAGTCCTCCTCACCCCCCCTCCTCCTCACACGGTCGTTTCCCCCGAGCAGCAGCAGCAGAGCGCCTGGAGGCAGCGGAGTACTGCGCGGGGCAGAGGAAGGACTACCACAGGCTGTCGGAGTTTCAGAGGGAGGCGGCCAAGTGCTCAACCCTCAGCTACACACAGCAGGACAGCAGCAAAGCACCCTGGGAGGAGCTGAACAAAGGGAGCCCCCTGAGCGTCATCAGCATCTACACCAAGAACCTTCAGGGCAGACTTACAGGTTAGTAATGATACCATACAATACAGCAGCTCCAGTGTAGAAATGGCAATGACATTCTTCTGACCTGATCTCCTCCAACAACGCAACATATATAATACAAAATAAATAGAATATACTATTGTATAGTATTGTGATTCTACGATATGCTAAGTATTGCGATACGATATATATATTTACTAGGGCTGTACCCGAATATTAAACTATTCGAATATTCGTTCGTTGGCCAACTATTCGGGTTTCAATTTCATTATTCGGATATTCGTTTTTTAATTTTTTTTCAAAAACATATTTATTTATTTCTAAATGTATGCTATTAATAAAGGCGAATTGCCATATTCTTATACTATATTTATACTTTTGAATTGCACTGTTAAAATGCGGAAATATATACAATCTCAGCCTGTGCT